AGTGTTAAATTCCTCGGGTTTATCAGACCAACATGGCCGGCGCCCAGATCCCGCCAATATCGAAGCTATCAAACAGATGGAGCCTCCGAAAGACGTCGCAGAGCTTCGCTCATTCCTCGGTCTCGTGAGTCATTACAGTGTTTTCCTACCAAGCCTGCATCAAACCAGAGGTCCGCTGAACCAGTTGCTGACGAAAGATAACGTTTGGCAATGGACGAGGGAATGTCAGCAGTCCTTTGACGCAGTTAAAGCAGCACTCACTTCTGATCTACTATTGACTCATTTCAATCCGAACTTGGAAATCATCGTTGCCTCGGACGCTTCCAATTACGGTATCGGCGCCGTTATTTCCCACCTTTTTCCGAACGGAGGAGAGAAGGCTATTGCACACGCAGCACGGTCCCTAACGTCAGCTGAGAAGAACTATAGTCAGATTGAAAAGGAAGCACTCGCAATCGTTTTCGCCATGAAGCGGTTCCACAAGATGCTCTATGGCAGGCATTTCACCCTCCTGACTGATCATAAGCCATTGCTGTCGATATTCGGCTCAAAGAAAGGAATTCCCGTTTTTACCGCGAATCGGTTACAAAGATGGGCGACTATACTGTTGGCGTACGATTTCAGTATATAGTATCGACCTACGCAACAAATCGGCCAAGCGGATGCCCTGTCTCGTCTCATCAATTCGCACCCAAAGGAGAACGATGATTGTGTGATTGCAGCCATCAAGTTTGAGTCAGAAGTCCAGCGAATCCTGACCGATAATATCAGAAGATTACCAGTGACAGCTGACACTATTCGCGCGGAGACTTCCCAAGACAGAACCCTAGAGAAAGTGATGCATTACGTGCAAACAAGTTGGCCAAAAGGTGGTATCCCTGCTGACTTGCGGCCTTTCTTCAACCGAGGTGGATCACTGTCCATTGTGGACAATTGTTTAATGTTTGGAGACCGAGTGGTGGTGCCAAAGAAATTGAACAGGCAAGTTTTACAACAGTCACATACTGGGCACCAACCGTATGAAAGCCTTGGCGCGCAGTTTTGTTTATTGGCCCGGAATGGATTCAGAAATTGAACAAATCTGCCAAAAATGTGAATCCTTTCAACTGGCGACGATGGCCCCTCCCAAATGCCCATAGCAACCTTGGTCCAAAGAAGAGAAGCCGTGGTAGCGAATCCACTTAGATCATGCAGGATCAATCGTTGGTCAATCCTATCTTTCTTTGGTGGACTTTCACCAAGTGGTCCGATGTTATCTCGACACAAAGTCCGACTGCCCAGCACACGATCAACGAGCTGGACAAGCTGTTCCAGTATTTCAGCCTGCCAAAGATAATAGTGACAGACAACGGTATACAATTCCCTTCAACTTCCCTTCGCGAGTGGTTCATGGAGAAAGGAATTCAGCAGATGTTCTCACCACCCTATCATCCGCAACCAAACGAAAAGGCGGAACGGTTCGTGGATATCTTTAAATGTGCTCTTTGTAAAACAAGGTCCCAAGGGAAGCGAGTCAGCCTTTCATGTGCATGTATCGGAACGCGCCAAACCCAAACGTCCCAGATGAAAATGCCTTTGACGAAATTTTGTCTGGACGAAAGATTCGGACATTGTTCAATAACCTTGTGCTAAGCAGGAAATAAAAGCACTGCAGTTGTCAAGTGGAGGAAAATATGACAGGCTCCGTCATTTTAAAAACTGTGACATGGTGTGCGCGCGGTACTTCCGAGGAACGAGGTGGTCAACAAAAAGAATGATCCGCAGAAAGGGTCGAGTCATTTACGAGCTAATGGAAGGAAATGATAAATGGGTCAGGCAAGCCAATAAGCTGAGGCTGAGTCACGGTAAGATTCAAAGTTCCCCAGAACCGCCATCCTTGTCGTGGGACATCCTGCTATACACGTTTGGTACGGAAGACGAAGCTGAGCGGTTGCGTGAATCACAACAGAATCTGCAAGCACCAGCGGATACACCATGCAGGCCGACCCGAAAGCGGAGACGACGACAATGGCTACAAGTTGACCCCAAGGCGGAAACCTATGAACAAAATCCAGTTCGAACGGTACGGAAGCAGACTCAATTTGAAGGCCACAACCTAAGAAGGTGACACGGATTCGAGACTCAAAGTGAGACTGCGGCAAGTCACGGACTAATGAAATCAGACCGTCATCATGGCCCAGGTCGCTACACGACAGGCGTAAGTGAGTGCGACTATAGCTGGCCAGTGCGGACTGATAGCAGGTTTGGAAGCTGTGCAGACAAGTGACGTGAGTCAGCTTAGAAACGAACAGCCAGAGGTGATAGCATGTGATCTATAAAATATGAATAAAATAAAAAAATAAAGTAATAGTTTACTGAACACCGTCGAAGGTCACTGGTTGCATATTCGTCAAACGTTACTATCAGCAGGCATATCTTCATGCGGCAAATTAAATTGCCAATCTAGACGTTGGGTCAATACAAAGTCTCTGGAACTTATGGATGCTCGGCGACGTATTCCGGCTGGAAGCGAATACAATAAGACTCGCAGAAATATGGCAAAACTACGTGCTAGCCTGAAGAGACCGCGAAGCCTGGTGGTCTCATTGTGCATCGGAAATGCACACAGCCGCTACCATTAATAATCAGTGTAAGTTTTTCCGTTTGATACGGAAAACAGGCAGCAGGAGACCCGGTATTAGCGAGACAATACGCAAGGAGAGTAGACAGCCGATCCACGGCTTGTCAAAAAAGCTTGGAGCATTGGGCCGAACACTTTGAAAGGCAGTTTAACCAATCTGAGTTATCGCTTTCTCTTTCGGAGACTGAGTGCTCTTCTCCGTGGGCCGTCTCCTTAGATCCGCTCTCAGACGCAGAAGTCAAAAGTGAGATCAGACTGTTAAAAGTGCATAAGGCCGCTGGTGCAGATAGAATTCCGCCAGCTCTCTACAAATTCGGTGGACCTGCTCTTGTAGATGATTTACACGAGTTGATAATGGAAGTTTTGGAACAGGAAACTGTCCAGACAGACTGGAGCTGCTCCGTCATAGTCCAGATTTTCAAGGAATGCTCCCGTTCGGAATGCGGCAACCAGAGAGATCAGACTGATCTTAATCGTCACTAAATTGCTTTCTTCTGTCGTTCTCCACAGATTGACTGACGCTCGTGAAGATCAGATCCGTGAAGTGCAAACCGGGTTTCCTCGAAATCGAGGGTGCACTAACCACAGCTTCACTTTGCGTCAATTATTGGAGTAACACCATGTTTATGGGCGACCCATCATTGTCATGTTTCCCGACATCAAAAGTGTCTTCGATTCGGTGGATCGATGTGCCCTTTGGAACTGTGTGCGGAGAGGCGTGCCCGGTAAATATGTAAACATTACCAAAGCGCTGTACGGGCATAGTTCGGGCAGAGTGATGGTTTATGGCAAACTGTCGCCGCTCTTTAATATCTCCAGTGATGTGTGACAACGTTGCCCGCTGTCACCTTTGCTCTTTAACTACTCCATTGATGGAGTCATGGAAACAGCGTTCGCTGGACACGATCTAGAGGGTGTGGAGCTACTTCCTGGTGAGCAACTTCTTGACTTGGAGTATGCGGACGACATTGCTCTCATATGTGACAACGCCCAAACGTACCAGGCTGCACTGGACCGATTAGCACTGGTTGTCAATCATTTTGGGCTATGCTTTGCTCTATCGAAATGCAAAGTTCCTCTCCAAGATTGGCAAGGACCCACCCTGCGCTGGCCCTTGGTGGTGATCAGCTAGAAGTCGTTCAGGAATTCAATTACATGGCAGCTATATAAGCCCGTGGGATCGATGCTGAGATTACGAACCGTATAGCAAAACTGTGTTTTTGCCAATCTCCGCCACCTGTGACGCAGACGCGAAATCACTCTCGCCTTGAAGGACAGAGTTTATAACACAGCCATCCGTTCAACCATCTTATACGGTTGTGAAGCCTGGCCCATCATGTCGACAGACATGAAGAAGTTCGTCACGTTCGATCATCGCTGCCTCCGCAGCTTAGCTCATGTCTGGTGGGAGCACCGCGTGAGCAATGAGCGTGTTCGGCGTCGCGTATTTGATGCAGGAAGAGCTAGTAAACCGCTCAGCACTAGTATATCACGCACCAGGCTCCGATAGCTAGGCCACGTGTTGTGCATGTCAGCACACCGACTCCCGCGACGTGCATTGTTTGCGCGCCGGGGTGTGGTTGGAAGAGAAGGCCAAACGATGACGGTCTAGAGAAGTGAAAACCTTTACTTCGAATTTGACGTCGGTTGGTGCATCTCGACTGCCTGGCTGGGGTCCTAAGGACGATGAACATGGTTGATTGAACACAGTTGCTGATATGGCTAGGAACCGGCCCCAGTAGCGTTCCTTTGTTCATTCTCCCGTCTTAGCCACCCCTCCGATCACGATCTCATTCGTTAGGCAAAATATAACTTTTTGCGGCACGATAGCCGGCTGTTAGCTCTCCGGAACGATGTCCATCCGTTACTTTGGACTCGGTCAGCGTGCACTTGCTGTATTTTTCTTGTCTTTTGTATTGCGACACAATAGCTGTCTTCCACTTGCAGCTAACGTGTAAAATAATGATGATAAAAGTAACCTTGTTCTGTTTCTAATACACTTCGGTCTGGCAGGCTTCGGTGTTTTGTTTCTTCCAGGATTGGGTTGGTAGCGTAGAGAGCAGGGGCGAGGGAAGCAGTACAACACAATTGTTTGCTGTATAAATGGATGGAAAAGAGTAATAGAAAATATGCCAAACGCGGAGCATTTTACAACAAACAAAAAAGTCGTTTAGACAGTGACGGAAGTAGGACAGTTTGTGGAACATAGAAGCTGTCTGGGCTATGTAATAAGGCCCGGATTCAAGTAACTGTAAAAGTTTAAGATTGGATCCATATGGATGGTACAGTTCTGACTACACACAAAAACGAAGCAAGCAATCTAAAGTGGGGTGACCGAAAACAAGGGCGAATCTGGAGACCCAGACTACTAGAGACGTACCGGGGGGGAGGCCGCCAGTCGTTCAAATCATTCTCGTGAGAAACCCGCTCCCAGTGTTTCTGAAGCATGGAGTAGCGATAAACATTCATCGTGTAGGTGGTAGACATCACCCCACCTACTTTATACAAAAATGACTCTCCGTCGAGCACCACATGCGTTAGAGTCTAATCCTGAGTAGTTGTCATGAATGTAGTCTTACGTGACCATAGGTAGATATGGGTATATCACGGACGTCGTTCTTATAGGAGGACGGTAACGTGTACGTCTCCAAACTTTTAAAATCCATAACTGTCAAACTGTTGTCAATAAACTCTCCAAACTGAGTTCCGGTGCCTCCGTGTATGATTAGGGTATGCCCCATCAGATAGACTGAATTCAAAATAGATAGAAATGCACGGTGACTCACCAGCGTGCGAGGCAGCTAATGAAAAGGTTGAGCGAACAAAGTGAATTTTTCGCCATCCACCAGAAAGAAAATTGTAACGCCAAATCTAGAGAGAGTAGATAGTCGAATACCGTTTACCTCTCCCTTCACAACAAGCTTATCATCGTATTGTACATAGCCACCGATGACGTATAAGTTGGACTCGTCTGCAGCAACACAATGACCACTCCTGGGTAGTGGACATGAATCTGTGAGAGAAGGGTGAGAAACAAAAGGGAACCGCTCACCTCGGTCAAACTGAAAAACGCTTTGACTGATTAATGCAGGCACCATGGGTTCATCGTCTGCTGTGTGAGGTGGTGCATGTATGAACTGCCAAATGCGGGACGGCAGGCGAATTACATTGGAAAAAGTAGCTAAACTTGATGCTACAGTAAACGAATGCCAGGAGTAATGAGGTCAAAAGTAGGTGAGACACACGTGCCGGCAGGTACGTAAACCAGGGCGATGCTAAAATGGCATAGAAAGATGAATCTAACTATATTTGTACACAAAATTAGAACAAACGAAGTGTAACTAACAGTTGGGCATAGGGAAGAGAAAGTAACCAATGACTGATGCTCGTGAGTACCAGTGTGGCCGAAGAGGATAGCTGACATGCGAATGCTCGCAAAGCGAAGGTGCAAAGTCGGAGAGGATCCAGGATCCGAGTAACTAGATATGGCAGAGACAACTGGCTTTACGCGCAAAGGCATGGAAATTAAAAGAAAATGTAAATAATAGCGGCAACTGGACGGAATAAACACAAAATGTAAGAGTAAAGATAAGTACCACATATGTCCCCAGAGTACTCACTGGTCAGAAAACAGTAACTCACTGGGGCAGTAAGGGAAAGTTCAACTATTGTATGGGATGGAAATAATTAGCAGCTATTAGTGAAGGCATACTATAGCTGCACTGGGTGTATATCAATCCAGTGACCCAATATGATATACAGCTGCGAGCGTATCAGCTGACTGAATTCAGTGAAAATGCAACCACCGGATTTAATTTCAAAGTCTCCAGGTGTTTGAGCTGAAAAATGGCGCCGGAATCAAGTGAAGAGCTTCCAGCTTGAACCTGCACATGTCGGTGATGCGCAAAATACCTAACTACCTTCTATGTAAACCAGTCCTTCGGAATGTGGAAAGTACACAAGCCACATTGTGCCGGAAAATTTCGCGAAGCCCACATGAAGAAGCGGCTAGATGCCAAAGGTCTAATTTTCAGTGAACATCTTTCTCCGTACAATATTAGCTACCAACTTTTCAAAAAGGGGAAAAATGAGGCGATAAGTTCATTATTTATGCAAATGTCGACTGGGGGTGCGGATAGCATAAACAGCCCCATAACAACCACCGGTTCGAACGTGCGTAAGGGACCGGGCAACACTTACAGTATAGTTAGCGCACACGCGACTGGTGGTGGCTGCGCGGCAGTGAAGTGTTAGTAATGCGTACCGGCGTACTGCTGATTCTATAACAACTGCGTATCTCAGGACTCCTATCCTTAGCTGTGGCCTCTAATCCAAAGCTGATGCAAATATTTGCACTCGAGTGCGAAATCCGATGGAGAAAGATCCAGAACTAGACAACTGAACCTGAAGTCGGACTCTGTAAAGGTAGACCAAGATTGTGTGCCTCCATCTTAACTGGCTGTCAAAGTGGTTTCGTCTGGTCACCAAGTTTACTGCATTCGAGGAAATAAGTATAGAGGACAATGAAAAGCTATGTGCTTTTTGTTCGTAAGGTGTGGATAAAATCTGCGGGTGTACGTGCCATCAAATCGCAAGCCCTAGAAAAGCAGTCGCTACGGTACAAAGATGGCTACCGTAACGATAAGTGACCTGTCTGACAGTGTGAGAAGTGTCACTAGCAAGTGTCTAAGAAGCCATCGATTAAGTAGAATTGCATCTTCGTGTCATCCTCCATCGACTATGTCTCCGGATGAAAGTGAGTTAGCGTATGTATGTATGTACCTAATCTCAACAGCTTAGCAACTAGACATAGATCCAACAAAACCATGGAGATTAGCAGATAATGGACCGGCATTGTGGCATGCTAGTTGAAGGTGAGCAACACACTTCAACTAATATGCTGCAGGAAGAATGGAACATTTTGACAAAAAGTAGAACAAAACATTTTCAGTTTGTTTTTCAGACGCCGATTTTGCTCTTTTTGTCATTTTCAATGTTTGCAGTATTAAACATGTGAATCAACACAATTCTTCCACGGATTCCGGTTGCGGGCCATGTCTTCAAGAGTGCTAAGCCATTGGCACTCCTCATCTTTGGGTCCCCATCCTGGAAGACGTACGGATCCAACAGCGGCTAGACATGACGTCAGAGATTTCATGTGCCGCCGCCAAAGGGTAGGCTGACCACCGCACGGCCGCTTCCAGCCAGATCCTTGACGAGCGAATACAGCGCGACGCGGTAGACGCTCAGGTGCCATGCGTAGGACGTGACCGAGCCATCTTAACTGGCGCAACAAAACCAGGCTGTTGAACGGAATACTCGCATTCCCCCAAGATGCGACGTCGAACGTCATTCCTATTAACTCGATGTTGCCACCAAACACGAGCGATCCTCTTTAAGCAACCGTTATCGAACGCAGAGAGATGACGCATGTCTTCCACGCGAATCGGCCAGGACTCGCACCCATACAACAATACTGAGCGAACTGATGCACTGTAAACGCGGTCCTTTAGTGAGAATGAGACGTCGCGACGACGCCACAAGTGCCTCAGACTGACAAATGCTGATCGAGCTTTAGCGATACGAAGAGAAATTTCTTTGTTGATAGTGCCGTCAGCAGAAACACAGCTCCCGAGGTAGATGAAACTATCTACCTGTTCAAGTTGTGCACCTTCGAGAGTGAGCACGGGAGCAGGTGAAAGCCAATCCTTGAGCAGTACTTTACACTTCGATGGAGCGAAGCTCATGCCATACTTAGATGCTTCAACCGCCAAATGATCCAGAATGAGTTGCAGACCCTGAGGATCGTCACCAAGTAAGGCGATATCATCAGCATAATCCAAGTCGGTCGCGCGCTCACCCGGTGGAAGCTTTAGGCCAAAATGTTGGAAACCTTCTAGAGCATTCGACAGAACGTCTTCGATTGCGAAGTTGAAGAGGAATGGGGACATAGGGCAGCCCTGTCGCACACCGCTACTGACAGCGAATTGCGAGGAAAGCTTGCCATAGACCCTCACTCTGCCGGATGTATAAAGGTAAAGTGCTCGTAAGATGGCGGTATATTTCTCTGGCGCCCCCTTCTTTAGCAAGCAACGCCATAAAGCAGGTCGATCAACGGAGTCAAAAGCGGCACGTATGTCTAGGAATGCAACGATAGTGGGCCTATGATAAATGTGGCGATGTTCGAGGAGCTGGCGGAGCGTGAAGATTTGAACCACACATCCGCCGTCAGGACGGAAACCAGCTTGTTCTTCACGGTAGTATGATTCACGTATTGGGGATAGTCTGCGAAGCAGAATGGGTGCCAATAGCTTAGAGGCAACCGAAATAAGACTAATCTCGCGATGATTTGCACATGAAGTGCGAGCGCCTTTCTTGAAAATCGGGGCAATAACTGATTCGCCCCAAGAGGAAGGTACTTTCTCTTCCTGCCAGATTTTTGCGAACAGCGAGGTCAGCTGGTTAACGATCGCCACACCGCCGTACTTGAATAGCTCCGGAGGAAGTCCGTCTAAGCCGGCAGCCTTGAAGCGTTTCAAGCGTTGAATCTCGAGGCAGACTTCCGCTTCGCTGGGTGGATTCAGAGGGACGAGCCTGGGTGGACAAGGTGTACTGCATGTACTGGTGGATGGTGGAGGCCAGTTGAACTGCGAGTGAAAGTGCTCGGCCCAGCGGTCCATACGCCTCTGTTAGTTGGTGATCGGAGACTCATCCACCTCACAAATGACCTCACTGACACCAGGCTTCCTGAGGGCAGTGGAACGAATGAGTTGGAAGAGCCTGCGAGTGTTGCCAGAGTGGGCAGCGGTCTCCATTTCGAAAGCAGGCTCAGACCACCATGTCTCGTGGTATTTAACGGTGCACCAACTCGCTTGTAACTTATCACTTTCTCCAACACAACCAGGAGTTCCAGCTGAAAGTGGAATGCGGTATGCCGACCATCTTTACAGATTCCAACCAAACGGCACAACTCTGAATCATTGATTTGATTTCAGCCACAGAACACAGAAAGCTTTTGGCGCGGACGACATGAATCATGCGAATTATGCCTTGGTGACACAGGGAATCATGAAGTAGTTTTAGGTTACCAGGCGAGTTTTGCAGCAGGCACGTAAGAATGTGTCAAATCCCTGGTCGAACTTGCCAGGTAGGTAGATAACAGTAGTCAAAAAGCGTAGATGCAGGCATCCAGCGGTGTATTTTGTTGTTTTTAATGTTCCTATGGTTCATAATAGTATACATGAAAGCGACAGGACACCAATTTGTGATCAGCTTAAAGTGGTTAACAAGCAATTAGTACAGTCATTTTCGTACTACCTCAATGATCGCGTAGGCTTCTTTTTATACTGAGGAGTGGTGTCTCTTAATGGAATGGGTGCAGGAAATAATTATTAATCTTGTTTTTGTTCAAGGTAGCCGAGATAGCTACATCAGAAGTACATTTCAACAACCAAGAACAAATAAGGGGTGGTTGGGCACATGGGAACTTACGTGTGATGAATCAAGGGGCTGATCTCAGTATAGAAGTGCGGAATCCATTAGGAATAATAAGCAAATATCCCTGTCGCGTTTCGTTATGCCTTGATGTTTGCTAGAGACAATTCACAGTAAAGCCTCAATCGCTCGGAGTCTGACTTAATTAGTACTTTGAAGACGTTTCTAGTGTCATGGAAGGTGATGCCGCACTATAAAGTGATACTCTGTTAATGTTTAACAAACAATGATGTTGTCAAGGGAGGTAAATGAATTGGTTGAACTTTTGTTGGTCGTTTCATCAATGGTTCGCTGAAAACAAGAGATGACATTGGTTACTCCATAAGTTTTGAGACCGAACTGAGTTTGATAGAGTTGAAATGCTGCCAGATGAAAATCCGGTTGAGTTTAAGTATGCGGAGCAGATTTTTAGCTCGCAACGCATCAGCTGTTTAATCGTGAAATGCAAACGAAGACTGCTGAACGGTTACCGTAGATTTTATTGGCTGTTTTTATCTCTTCCAGCTGTCTATGCTACGAATACTGAATACTGAGAATAGAGAGCGAAGAAATAAAAAATCTGTGTTGCTCCATCGTAGGTGGGTTGGGCACTTGCGCGGAATCACGTCGCTGATTCCCGCGCCGTGGCAGCATACTGCAGTTGCACTACATCTTATCCGAGTGCGATACGCTCCCTATACCTGTAGTCCGCAAAGTGCGCGTCCAGGAACCTCTTAGATTCTGACACCGATTTCGCCTCGACTAGACTCTCCGGCAATTTGTTCCACTATTTCACCACACGATGCTCAAAGCACAGAGGGTGCGCGATGCGCTTTAAATCCGATACCAATAGTTTGTACCGGTATCCGCGTGTGTTTCTTGGTGCGCGAACGCGTAGCAGTGGCATCAACATAGGGAAGTGGTCTAGGTGCTGTATCCGGTGGGTCATAATGAAACCAACACGAAGTCGACGATATAACAGAGTATAAAGCCCCAGTCTCCTACATCGATCCTCGTACGACATACCCCGTAAACTGGAAATGAGCCGGGCAGCTACACGCTGGACCTGTACCAGTCTGCACCTCACCTATTGTGATTGGACAGTAGACGGGTGAGCCGTACTCAAGCCCCGGTCTTATGGTGGAAGAGAAAAGACGGGTGGCAATCTCTTCAGAGCAACTGCAAAAGCTGCGTCTAAGTGTCCAAAGCAGGCGCAGTCCGTTTGCGTACAGTCTGTTCGTGTTGTCGACAGACTTCAGATCACAGCGTGAGAGTACACCTAGATCCCTTACGGAACTGGCCGGCCAGGGTGTACGCACGCCCATTACCTCCCCTCCCCAAGCTCATAAACGAGGACCTGGCCGGGTTGGCCTGTAGGTCAACTGCAGACCACCGGGATAGGTGGTCGAGGTCCTGCTAAAGGAGGTCACAGTCGCCGGGAACAACAATAATTCTCCAAATCTTCAGGTCGTCTGCAAATAATGCGCAAGGCGACCGAAGAAGCTGAGGTAATTCGTTGAGGTGCATCAAGAACGAAATGCGTCCCAGTACTGTGCCTTGGGGTACGTCGCTAGTGGACGGGTACCATTCCTTTAAGTGGTCATCCACCTGAACTCGCCATCTCCCAATAAGGAAGTCACTGATCCACTGGTGCAATGAGCCACCAACACCATAAATCCTCAGCTTGTGGAACAAAACCACATGGTTCATCGAAAACTTTACTGAGACCAATGTAGATAACATTCACTGACTTTTCTCGGTTCAGCGCTTGCAAACATTCCTGCCGCGTCAACAGCAGGTTAGTGATGCGCGAACGGCCCTTCGTGAAGCCGTGCTGTGCCGGCGTTAGATCAGCAGCTTTTCCACAATCTTCTCGAACACATTCGCCAAAACAGAGGTGAGACAAATCTGCCAGTCCACATTGCGTGGGTCACGGCATTTTGGAATCAGCTTTACTACCAAGCATTTCCAGTCGCTTGGCAATGCACCCTCGGACAGCAATCTGTTGAACAGATCCATCACGTCAGACGAGATGATGGCCCATAAGGACTTCAAAATTACAGGGTGAAGTCTATGTGCCCGGCAGGTTTCGTGCCGTCTAGACTGGCGAGTAGACTTCGGACATTTTCTACACCGCAATATATATATTATATATTACACACAACCCGTGGTACATATACTGTGCCATCGGAATCATGGCTGAATAGGAAGACAGTATGAATAATAAGAAAGAGCAATAACAACAAAAGCTTTTTTGTCTAGTTTACCACTCACAATTTTTGAAATTTTTTCAGCTTGTTTTTTAAGGGGAGGAAGAAGGGACACCGCAACACGCCGATGCACACGTCTGCCATTGACATCGATCTTGAGCCATGGCTTCCAAGGTCTTCAGTCAGCAAGTATCCGCATCTCTCGGACCCCAACCAGGTAGTCGATAACAACCGGCCGAGGCCAACTGTTTCGTCAGCTTTTTCATGCGGCTTCTCCATGTTGTAGGCTGTCCACCAGACCGTCTTCTCCAGCCCTGTCCAGCAACCGCAAACAACGCACGATGCGGGTAACGCTGGATAGACATGCGCAATACGTGTCCCAACCACCGCAGTTGATGCAGTGAGACGAGCTCCTCGAGCGAGTGACTTCCACGTCCCAAGACGCGCTGTCTAACTTCCACATTGCTTACGTGGTGCTGCCACCACACACGGGCAATGGACCGCAGACAGCGGTGCTCGAAGACGGATAGCATGCGCAAGTCATCTTTACGAATGGGCAAGGTCTCGCATCCGTACAACAGTACAGCACGAACAGTTGCACAATAGACCCGCCCTTTGATGAAAAGACGAATGTCGTGGCGACGCCACAAATGCCTCAGCCTAGAAAAAGCGAGGCCTGCTCTCGAGATGCACATCGAAATCTCGTCTCCAACAGCTCCGCCAGCAGTGATGCAACTTCCCAAGTAGACATAGCTCTCCACAACCTCTAGTGTCGCACCAGCAAGCGTGAATGCAGGTAGAGGCACCTGCCAGTCTTGAAGGAGAGCCTTGCATTTGGATGGGGAAAAGTACATACCATACTTGGATGTTTCAATCGCCAGGGGATTTAGTGCAATTCGGATGACAAATGAATCGTCACCCAGCAAGACGATATCATCAGCATAATCCAAGTCAACAACTCCACTACCTGGGAGGAGCTCAACGCTAGCATTCAACGAATCGCCCAGAGCGTTCTTCAGGACATCCTCAATGGCAAAGCTGAATAGGAAAGGAGAGATAGGGCGTCCTTGTCGAACTTTACTGGAGACCACAAAGGTAGGCGAAAGCTTGCCATAAGCCCTAACCGTGCCCGAGGTCAGACTATAGAGGGCGCGCAGTATGGAGACGAACTTCTCGGAGACACCATTCCTCAGTAGGCAGTGCCACAGTACCGTACGATCGACAGAATCGAAGGCTGCACGGATATCCAGGAACACAGCAATCGTTGGCCTCTGATACACATGGCGGAGCTCGAAGATCTGGCGGAGTGTGAAGATTTGATCGATGCAGCTGCGACCAGGACGAAACCCAGCTTGTTCTTCTCGTTGCAACGATTCACGCGTCGGGGATAGCCTGCGAAGTATGATGGACACCAGCAGCTTGCAAACGACGGGGACTAAGCTTATGCCTCTGTAGTTGAAGCAGATTGTGCGCAAGCCCATTTTGAAGATGGAGATGACTATCGATTTACTCCAAAATGATGGAATTTTCTCTTTCGACCAAATTTTCGAGAACAAAGTGGTGAGTTCTCGAACCATCGAAGCGCCACCATCTTTAAATAGAGCTGGAGGAAGACCATCAGGGCCGGGAGCTTTATAGCGCTTCATGTGCCGGAGCTCTTGCTCGAGTTCCTGGTAAAAGGGAGGATCACTGAGGGTAGACCACTCGGTCCCAGCGCGAGCGCCAGAGGTAGCAGATGGAAGTGGAGGCCAACAAAACGACGAACCAAAATGTTCGGCCCATCGCTCCAACCGTCGTTGAAGATTGGTGCTTAGGTGCCATCCTCTTCACATATTGTTTCGCTTATACCATATCGAACACCTTGGGTGACTCGAATGAGATGGAAAAGTTTTCTGGTATTGCCAGAGAGACTAGCAAACTCCATCTCCCTAGCACGTTCATACCACCAAGCTTCGCGATCCATTTGCAGACTACTGCGCAACTCTCGACCCAGAGATTGGCGTTCGTCACTGTGTCTGGAATCCGATGGGATCAAGCGGCGTTTGTCCATCAACGATAAGGAAACGGCAGAAATCCAATGCTTCGGTGGGGGACGGGTAACTCCACAAGTGTCGATACTGGCAGAAACTAAGGCATCTTTGATACGCGCCCACTGCGAATCGAGATCACCGTCAATAGTTGAGTCAAGCAAGCTTGACAGTGAGGCTTGGTACCTGGTTAAAATCGCAGGGTTTTGTAGATTTGCGACGCCCGGTAGGTAGAGAGCGCGCTTAGGTGATCCTCCGAAATGCATGCAAATCTTAGCACGAACCCATGCTTGATCGGAGTCTAGATAAGTTGACCAGTACGATCGGCAGTCCGTTACGCTATAGCGCCATCTGTAGCTGATTGCTATGTGGTCAAGCTGGGAGCACCCTTGCGTATGTGAGGGCGGGCGCCAGGTAGCAGTGTGTCTCCTCGAGTGCCGAAAACTAGTGCTCGAAAGACACAAGTGATGATCAGAGCAAAGAGCAAGCAGTCTGTCTCCATTGTCTGATCGACTGCCACCGAGACCAAAGCTACCACCAAGGTCGTGCTCGCTTGGTGGAAGGCGGCCAACCCGTGCGTTAAAGTCCCCGGCAAGAATGACTATATCAGTCCTTTTGGAGGAACGCAGAAGTTCATGTAGCTGCTGGTAAAAGCTATCTTTAACTGCATCCGGGCTGCAGTCTGTAGGGGCGTAGGCGGAGACGACAAACAAGGCACGCTTAACGTCTCGACGCCTGCTTACGTTACATGAACCCCGTAGTCTGACTGCACATAGCCGACTATTGACTGGAATCCAGTCAAGCAGAGCTGATTCACCCTGGCACTCAGTGCAACTCCAACACCAGCTTGGCCAGTGGCCGCAGCTTCTGGGTCTCCGGAAAGCCGCAAGTGGTATTTGGCGTCAGGGTTTACCGGTGAAGTCATTCCGATGACGGCGCTAGAGTCTTGTAATCTGGTCTCTGAAAGGCAACAGATGTCCACCGAAAGCGTTTCAAGAGTACGGGCCAGACATGCTTGTCGTCCGATCTGCATCAAAGTTCGAACATTAAACGCTGCGAGGATGAATGGAGAACC